GCATGCGCCACCATGCTTGACTAATTTTTTTTTTTTTTTTTTTGAGACAGGGGTCTCACTATGTTGCTAGGATAGCCTTGAACTCTTGGGCTCAAGTGGTCCTCCTGCCTCAGCTGGGATTACAGGCGTGAGCCACCACACCAGGCTCTTGTATTTAATTTTCATTCATCTCAAATAATTTTATAATTTCTATTATTTTTTAATCCATTGGTAACACAGTGCATCATTTAATTCTTACATATTTGTGTTTTCCAAAATATTTATGTTTGTATTGTGGCCTGAGAAAATACTCTGTATGATTTTAATTCTTTTAAAATTTTTGAGACTTGTTTTATGGCCAAGTATATGGTCTATCCTGAAGAATGTTCCATATGCACTTAACAAGATGTCTAGTCTGCTATTGTTGTTAGAATGTTCTATTGGCATTCAATAATATTGTTCAAGTGTTCTGCATTCTTGCTAATTTTATGTCCAGGTTTTATCTATTATGAAGAGTGGAGTGGCCGGCGCAGTGGCTCACGCCTGCAATCCTAGCACTTTGGGAGGCTGAGGGGGGTGGACCACTTGAGTTAGAGACCAGCCTGGCCAACATGGTGAAACTCCATCTATTCAAAATACAAAAATTATTTGGGCTTGGCAGCATGCGCCTATAATCCTAGCTACTCTGGAGGCTGAGGCAGTAGAATCACTTGAACCTGGGAGGCGGAAGTCGCAGTGAGCTGAGATCATGCTACTGCACTCAAGCCTGGGTGACAGAGTGAGACTCTGACTTGAAAAAGAGAGAGAGAGAGAGAGAGAGAGAGAGAGAGAGGAATACTGAAGTCTTCATTTGTTTTGTTGAATTTTCTATTTCTCCCTTCAATTACCTTCTCATTATTCTTAACAGCAAATCGAGTGATCTTTTACAAAAATAGGGATTACGTCACTCCTCTTCAAAACCCTCTACTGCCTTCATATCTCACTCAGAGTAAAAATCAAAGTAGCTGCAATACCTAAACGTCTCACAAAACGTGCTTCATTACCTCTCCTTGCATTCTGCACTACCCTCCTTCTCCTGTTACCCAGCCACTGACCTCCCACCCCCTTGCTTAAATGTATCAGACACTTTGTCCACAGGATCTTTGTGTTTGTTCTCTGTAATACTCATCTCTCAGATACCTGCATGGCTCCCTTCCTCACTTTCTTCAGATATTTATTCAAATGTCCTTCTTGGTGAGGTCTTTTCTGCTCACTCTATGTTAAATGGTAATGTCGGCTCATTTCCCCTTTCTTCATTTTTTTCTCAGTGACACTTTTCTCCATCTGTCATAATGTATGTATTGTAATCATGTAACTAATGTAATATTTATTGTCTCTTCTCACTAGAATGTAAATTTCAAATGCATAGGGACGTCTGTTTTATTCTCATGTATCTTCAGCACAGTGCCTATCACACAGGTGACCAATAAATGTATGCTTCATGAACAAATGAATGCCCTGAGAACTGCTTAAGGAAACCAGTCAGCTGGGAAGCAGAATAAGTCAGATTCATTGGTTAATCTCAAATGAACCCTAAACACTAATTCTTTCTGTAAGTCTCTGCAACTGTGAACAATCATTTTCTTAAAATTCCGTCATTCTATTAAAATTACATGTATTAACACTGATATTGTTCAGCCAGCTCATTGCTCCCTTCCACTGTCATCTTTTCCCTGTCTCTTTCCAAATATTTCGTGAGCATTTGCTATCTGCTAAGCACTGGATATAAAGTGGTGAACCTACAGTGACAAAGCCCACACCCTTATGAAATCTGCAATATAATTATCTGAAATTCAGCATACCAAAGTTACTCAGACCACTGTCCCTATAGGTTCTTTATCCAGTTTACTTTCCAGTTTCAAGAATCTTCTCCTAGATAGACCAAAATTAAATAGAAGTCTAGTGAACAATTTACATTAAATCTTGCCAAATTCATGCATATAAGTCAGCTTTCAAATACAGTCAGCCCTTCACATCATGGGTTGCACATCTGTGGATTCAAACAATATTTTATGGAAAATATTTGAAAAAAATTAAAAATTGCAATATAATAAACATAATACAGTATAATAATTATTTACATAACATTGTACTAGGTATTAATGTAGAGATGATTTAAACTGTTAGAAGGATGTGTGTAGGTTATATGCAAATACTATGCCATTTTATATCAGGGACTTGAGCATTCATAAATTTTGGTATCTGATTAGTTCTGGAAGCAATTCCCCCAGATACTGAGAGAGGATTGTACTAGAGAAGGGAAAAGTTAAGCATCACAGGTATTTCTATTTTTATTTTTTGCGAGGGAGTCTCACTCTGTCGCCAGCCTAGAGTGCAGTCGCATGATCTCAGCTCACTGTAACCTCTGCCTCCCAGGTTCAAGGGATTCTCCTGACTCAGCCTCCCGAGTAGCTGGAATTACAATTGCGTACCACTATACCCAGCTAATTTTTGTATTTTTAGTAGAGACAGGGTTTCACCATGCTGGCCAGGATGGTCTCAATCTCCTGACCTCATGATCCACCCACCTCGGCCTCCCAAAGTGCTGGGATTACAGGCATGAGCCACCACGCCTGGCCACATCATGGGTATTTTTTAAATGAGGAAAATAATTAGTAGTAAAATTGCATTTATAGATTTTGAAATCTAAGTACAAATTAGTAGCATTAAACTAATGTCTGACAAATGTTCTTCAGATCACATTTTATGCTCCAGCTACAAATTCCAGTGCAAAAGCTTTTAAAGGCATTTCATAACTGTTGTGCAGAAATATTTTTATGGCATTGTGGTTCATTACAGTGGTTAAAGCTATCGTCAGTTTTCAAAAAATAAGGTCTATTTCAAAAATTCCTGGCATACATGAAACTTTAGCCAGAGTAATTTTTCTAATGGCTAAAAAGGTTTTCGTCAGCAAGTACTGTAGTCAAAATATTTCAACCACAGATTCTTCTTATTACATCAGAGGACAGCAAAGTATCTGAATGATGGCTCGAAGGTACAGAAAGGACACTACAGCAGTCAGCAGAAATATTTTAATCTACTTATCAGACATGTCTAGTTGCTCACCTATTTCATTTGACAACCAGAAAGACTGTTTTGATAAAAATTTTGTGGGCTTCTTTTTAAACAAGCCTAGCCAACTGCTAGTTCACTGACCTTCCCATAAAATTTTACCTGGTTGATTTGTAAGCAGTTTCACTAGAAATCTAAGGACATGACAGAATATCAGTGAAGCAAAATCAGCATAATTACAGGACAAATTAAAGTAAAAATCCTAGACTTCAGTTAGAGGCAATTCAGCAAAGCTGTACTATGACCTGCCCAGAAACAAAGCAAAACAAATAATCCCACGAGTCTGTGTTCCTGGAAAACTTAGCAGAATCAAGATCACCATGGGAACATGTATATTTTGGTCTGGGACTCACCCAAATAATATAATAATCAAAGTTTGCTAAAAAAGGAGATTAGGAACTTCCAGTGAGAACCCTGGTTTTCCTGTGAGACAGTCAAAGCAGAACCAGCAGAAGAAACAGTGGAATGGGGCAGTGCTCGTAAGCTTTTTGGTCTCGGGAAATTTTTACCTGTCAAAAAATTACTGAGGATCAATAACAACTTTTGCTTGTGTGATTTTATCTAACAATATTTACCATATCAGAAGTTAAAATGAAGAATTTTTATACTCATTAAGTTTCAGAAAAATAATTTAAATTCTACATATTAACATAAACATTTTATAACAACATTTTCCAGAGAAAAATGTGAGAAGTGTGGCATTGTTTTTAGTGTTTGCAATGTCTTTATTTAATGTCTAGCTTAATCAAGGATAGCTAGATATTCACAACTGCTTTTGTGCTGGATCTACTGCCATATGCTGTTTGGCTGAAGTACAGGAATATGAAGAAAATGCAGCCTCACACAGATGTTATAAAAGGGAGAGGTATTTTAGTAACCTTTCCAGGTAACTGCAGCTATCCTTATTTGATCCTATTCCAGTACGCGTGTTAGATTTTTTAAAAGATTAGTTGCAGTGTGAAATCTGAAACACTAGCAATGAAGTTTTCCTACTCCTCTACATTAAAACTTATTTTTCTATCTTACACTTCAAATGGATGTTTTCTCATTTATTAGTTTGTAACATTATGTACCGGTCATTTGGAAAATATGGTTTACTCAGTTATGCAGATTATCCAAATATTAACACTTTTTTTATACAATGTAAAACAAAACACATTTGTTGATATCATCACTGATCTCATCAGAAAAATAAGTTTTGGGGAGCTGTAAAGCTCACAGTTATGGATACAAGTTTTCCAAAATACAAATTTTCACTTAAAAGCTCAAATTTTCATTGGTAACAAACATTATCAGTTGTTTTCACTGACGTGGCCATCTGGATTAGCTCATTTTTCAAAAATGTCTGCCAAATATCCAAGTCTGAAGCACCACTGTTTGTCAATCTTTCAAATAAAAACTGTTCAATGGAATAAAGTAGTGGTGAAGTTCAGCTGTCAAGTGAAACAATAGCAAAGTACTTTTCCTCCAGCCAACCATCATACTGATTAGAAGGCAAGTTTCATTGCTGTACCTCTCCTACCTCGGCCTCTTAATGAATTCTATGTGACAAAGCGGGAAGTATGAAACACTTAAGATCATTAAGATGTGGACACTGGGCTCTATGACCCTTGCCTGTAGCCCCAGCTACTAGACAGGCTGAGATGGGAGGATCACACAAGCCCAAGAGTTTGAGGTCAGCCTGATCAGCTAGTGAGACCCTGGCTCTAAAAAAGGGAAAAAAATAGACTCAAGCGTAAAAAATTAAAAGTAAATCATGTCTTAGCATTATTATGAAAACAGTTTGGACTCACAGATCTCTTGCAAGTCTGAGACACTCAGGACTGCACAGACCAAACTTCTGAGTATGGGTGGGCTAGGAGGACAGAAATGGTCAAGGACAGCAGGAAGGTGATACACTTTGTACTTACCAGCTGCCAGGTACTGGACAAAACAGAAAAGATGTCCTACGTTCCTTGTCTCATGTGGTAGTAGAAACCCAAATCCCTCTTAAACAAGTATCTGTACCTCCATTTTAAGGGCAAAGAAACAGGCTTATAGAAAGCTACCAAACAGAGCTGGAAGCTAGTCTGTCAGCTCCAATACTCTTGCTTTTTTCCAACAATGGAAAAAGATATCTTCTCTTTTTTTGACACAGTGTTTCACTCTTGTTGCCCAGGCTTGAGTGCAATGGTGCAACCTCGGCCTCCCTAGTTCAATCAAGCAATTCTCCTGCCTCAGCCTCCCGAGTAGCTAGGATTACAGGTGCCCACCACCACATCCAGCTAATTCTTATTTTTCTTTTAGTACAAACAGGGTTTTGCCACATTGGTCAGACAGGTCTCAAACTTCTGACCTCAGGTGATCCCCTCCTCGGCCTCCCAAAGTGCTGAGATTACAGGCGTAAGCCATCACGCCCAAGGTATCTTTTAACTAGCTTTGCTACAGGGACCCTTCTCTTCTAGGGTGCCCTCTTACAAGCCATATTCCGCATGCAATCTCCTGGACTGTTTCCATTTCTGTGCAGGTCCTTCCCTCTTTGAGTAGAATTATTTCTACTACTAGTTATCTAAATCAGAGGTGACCAAAATATGGCATATACAGGTGCTTTTCTTCCCAGTGAAATATCTTCACCAAGTATTCATAATCTTTAATTTTCAGTAAGCCTGTAATTAGCCTTAGAACCTTCTCAACTCAGGTCCAGGTAGCCATAATCAATCAATCATTCAGGGCTAACAACAGAAGTAAAATGTGTTTGTCTGCTTCACCTAAAGTCATTAGGAAGCAATCCTATGGGATCAGCGGGTGAACCTCTTCCTTCCTTCTTTACAAATACAAAAAATAACTTTGCCAGGAAAGTATGTACACAGCTCCAGGTGTGTTACCTAGAAAAACTAATGTAATTATTAGAAGTGAACATTGTTGACTTCAACTGACCAGTTGGTCTCTTAGAATTCATTACAAGTCCTGACAGTCTACTAAGTGCTTCCCATCTACTTCAAAAGTCTAATATTGACAACGAAGCTGTTTTCACATTCCAAATTGTGTTTTATTCTTGAAATATAGCTTGAGCCTCTCTAAACCACTGCAATGACCTCCCCAATTGCTTCATCACTTCAACACATTTCCTGTCTGAATACTTCTGGTATTTGATTTGGTTCTGCCTCATGCTGTACTGGCCTTAGAGTCTAGAGCAGCTGAAGACATTTTTGAAGCTAGAACAAAAATCAGGATTGAGACAGAAAAATCTGGCTGCAGATAATGAGGACGTGTGCTTGGGGGTTAAGATTCAATGGGAATGTCCAATCACATGGTTACCAGCCTGTTTATCCTGTAGGCTTTTCAAGTAAAGAATCAGATTTTGGAAGGAAGAAAAAAATCTTTGCCTTGCTCAATTAAAAAATAGATTTTTAGAGCTTCAGGATATGTGGCAAAAAAACAAAAACAAAATAAAAAATAGATCTTTGTCTTGTTCATTCTGCTGGTTTTCAGGATCTCAAACAAAAAGTTCGATGGGGCCAGGTGCAGTGGGTCATATCTGTCATCCCAGTACTTTGGGAGGCTGAGGCGGGCGGATCACCTGAGGTCAGGAATTTGAGACCAGCCTGGCCAACATGGCAAAACCCTGTCTCTACTAAAAATACAAAAACTGGGTGTGGTAATCAGTGCCTGTAATCCCAGCTACTGGAGGGGCTGAGGCAGGAGAATTGCTTGAACCTGGGAGGTGGAGGTTGCAGTAAGCCAAAATCACGCCACTGCATTCTAGCCTGGGTGACAGAGCAAGACTCTCTCAAAAAGAAAGAAAAAAAATTGATGGAAAAAAGAGTTTATCACAATTATTCTTCATAATGTTTTTCAATTATTCATAGTATTTCTAACCCTCATTACTTTAGCTGTCATTACAGAGTGACATTTTTCTGGAGACAAGAATTCTCATTATATACCTTCTACATCAGAAACTCCTAATCAGTTCCTATTTGAAATTGCTCTCCTGTCAATCTACCAGGACAAAGAACAAATAGTGAGTGGTGGGATACTCAAAAGAGGCAACCAACTGGAGCCTCTCACATAAAGGACAGAACCTTTTTTTTTCTCCCAGCTTGGAAAATTTGTCCTCCTGGAATTAATCAGCCAGTCTTCTGAACGCCAAATTAAAACAAAACATCAGCTTTGTTAAAAATCCCTTCACAGAGGAAAACATGAAAATAGAAATATATAGATGTAAATTTAGCTTAAAGTTGTGTTTTGTGTAGCATTTCACTCAAGCCTAGTGCAAAATTATAAATTTCCTTCATTTTAAAAAGCCACATCCCTGTTCATTTGTTGGCCTTCTTTTCTTTTTTTTTTTTTTGTTTTTTGTTTTTTTGAGATGGAGTCTCCCAGGCTGGAGTGTAGTGGGACGATCTTGACTTACTACAACCTCTGCCCCCTGGGTTCAAACAATTCTCCTGCCTCAGGCTCCCAAGTAGCTGGGATTACAGGTGGGTGCCACCATGCCCAGCTAATTGTTTATAATTGTTTATATTTTTAGGAGAGATAGTTTTACCATGTCAGCCACACAGTCTCCATCTCCTGACCTCGTGATCTACCTGCCTTCGCCTCCCAAAGTGCTGGGATTTCAGGCGTGAGCCCCGTGCTCAATGTTGGCCTTATTTTCTAAGACTATTGGACAACTTTTACTACTCCAAGATCCTAAAGCTGTTATCCATCCTTATGCCTTTACATAAGCTGTTCCTCTGCTTTAAATGCCATTACTATCATTTTCTGATTAAAGTGCTACTCTCATCAAGTCAAACCTCTGTGAAGCTCCCTTTTTTGTTCAAGTGTTCTTCTCTCTTTCCATCTCCTTCCTCTAACCTAGGTGTGGTGGCTTACTCCACAGAACTCCCATGTCACTCATTTTCAGTGTCCTCTATTAAACCACTTAGAATATTGTAATGAACTCGCTTTTTTCTTCTACCAGACTCTTTGTGGGTTCCTTGAGGGCAAGGATCATGTTTTATTCATGTTCATAGTCTCATCACTCAGTGCAGTACCTGATTTAATCTAGATGCTCATAAATATTGAAGATATTTTTATATTTCCTATTTTCTACATGCAATTTACTTCGTATTTCTTTTAAAGTTTCAATCCTTTTCTTATTCTCTTTAAAGCTCTGAAACCAGAGACAAATTGACTGTTAGTGACTCAGGAAACCACTGTTTTTCAGATCTGTACAATGGAGCTAATGACACAAATATGTATTTTTTTAAAATGCACCTTAGGTTCTGGAGTACATGTACAGAACATGCAGGATTGTTGCATAGGTACCCACACAGCAATGTGGTTTGCTGCCTCCATCCCCGTCACCTATATCTGGCATTTCTCCCCATGTTATCCCTCCTCAACCTTCCTATCTCCCGCTGTCCCTCCCCTAATTCCCCCCCAACAGACCCCAGTGTGTGATGCTCCCTTCCCTGTGTCCATGTGTTCTCATTATTCAACACCCGCCTATGCGTGAGAACGTGTAGTGTTTGATTTTCTGTTCTTGTGTCAGTTTGCTGAGAATCATGGTTTCCAGATTCTTCCATGTCCCTACAAAGGACACAAACTCAACATTTTTTATGGCTGCATAGTATTCCATGGTGTATATGTGCCACATTTTCCTTGTCCAGTCTATCATCGATGGGCATCTGGGTTGGTTCCAGGTCTTTGTTATTGTAAACAGTGCCACGATGAACATACATGTGCATGCGACACAAATATATTTTAAAAGTCTATAGTAAAAATAAATGGCTTCTCCTCTTGAGAGAAAAATGCTAAATAAAAAAAATTGGGGTACACTTTAGAAAGCCATTTGGCAATATTTTATGAAGTTAGACATACATTCTACTGATATGGTTTGGCCCTGTGTCCGCACCCAAATCTCATCTTGAATTGTACTCCCATAATTCCTACATGTTGTGGGAGGGACCCAGTGGGAGATAATTTGAATCATGGGGCAGTTTCCTCCATACTGTTCTCATGTAGTGAATAAGTCTCATGAGATTTCATGGTTTTATCAGGGGTTTCTGCTTTTTTATCTTTCTCATTCTCTCTCTTGCCAGCTGCGATGTAAGACGTGCCTTTCACCTTCCACCATGATTGTGGAACATACGCAGCTACGTGGAACTGTGAGTCAAATTAAACCTCTTTCTTTTGTAAATTACCCAGTCCCAGGTATGTCTTTATTAGCAGTGTGAAAACGGACTAATACACCTCCCTTATGATCAAGTGATGTAACTCCTAAGCTGGGCTGAGTGGACTAATACATCCACTTTATGATCAAGGGATGTAACTCCTAAGCTGGGCCCAGTGGTGCACATCCACTGTCGCAGCTACTCTGGAGGCTGAGGTAGGGGAATTGTTTGCCAGGAGTTTCAGGCTGTAGTAAGAACTATGATCACACCATAGAACTCCAGCATGGGCAACATAGTGAGACCCACAAATTGCCATAAAAAGAGAACAGAAAAACAAATTTTGATATATTCATACAGTGGAATACTACTTTAGCAATAAAAAGAACTGAACCACTAGTACATGCAATATGATTGATTCTTAACAACATTCAGCTATAACAAAAAAAGCCACAGGAAAAAAGAGTAAAAGCTGTATGGTACCATTCATATGAAATCAAAGATTAGACAAAACTAACTTATGGTTATAGAAATCAAAATATTGGCCAGGCTCATGCCTGTAACCCCTGCACTTTGGGAGGTCAAGGTGGGAGATCATTAGAGGCCAGGAGTTCAAGATCTGCCTACATAACATAACAAGATCCCACCTCAATCAACCAAAGTATCAATCAGAAATCAAAATATTGTATGTTTTTAGATGGGAGGGGGGTTGACTGGAAGGGATGTCTACTCTGTGGTTATACTGGAGCAGGGAGAGGGCAATTCTGGTTCCTTTGGTTTTGATGTGGGTAGGGAGTACCTTACTAAGAATACGCACGTGAGATATTGAAGCTAAGGCCCCCAAAGTAAATAAAGGTCTGGTAGGAAGAAGGAA